TCATCTGCCAGCTCAGACCTTGAATGGGTCAGTCAGCTACTAAATTCCTAGGCCACGTTTTTGCCCCAGTCCACCTCTGCCCATTAAAGTGTGGTTTTTGCTTCTATTTTCACTAGTGTTTACAAAAAGTTTTTTTTTTCATTTGTTCTACAGCTGGTTGTTTGCAGCCCAGTGATTATATTAGGGTCATGGTGCGCTTACAATGTTCTGAAGTTTTGATGTGAATGAGGTTTGCAGTACTATCTCTGCAACAATAGCTTTGAACAACGTGTTGATGAAGAAATTACAAAAACTGTTGAAACAACTGAAAAGAGTCAACTTAAGGAAGCTTTTTATTTGTATATTCTAAAACAAAGCAAAACAAATAAAATGCAATTTCTTTCCACGTGTTCTGTGCCATATGGTAATCTTTATGATCCCTCGTGGAGGGATCATAAATGACGTACATGCGTACCTGAGCACCTTCGAAAACGTCTATCTTGAAATGAAGTGCCGCGCATGGCTTTTGCAGAGCTACAAAATCTCGGAGGTGCACAACCACGCATCAGGACACCGCGCAGTGCTAACACGCAGAGGCAGGGACTCTGCGATTGCGTCATTTTTGACGCAAGCCCCCTCACGCCCTGTGCATCGCTTCTACTACAACCTTAGCCTGAGGAGGTGAGGAGACAATCAGACACAGATAACAGAGCAGGCAGGAGGGGGAGGACCGGGGAGAAGAGTGGTGAACTTATTTCTAACTTTATCTGACCTATTTAATTTTATTTATTGTTTGCTTTTTTTTCGTCCTGCAGGCTCTGAGAGAAAATTAATTTGAAGCTGAGTTTTTGATAAAAATTGTTGGACTGCTCTAAACGTCTGTAAACCTGCAAAATGAGGGAAAATCTGTGTAAATTACAAACATTCTGTTCACGTGAGCAGTTGTCAGCACCTGTCATCCTCCAGACACACGACAGAGCGTGTCTGAGGCCAATCACTTTTTTTTTACATTGATCAAACTGATTGATTTAAATATAACTTAATATTCAGGAGGTGTCAACAATGGTTAATACAAATAACGGTATTACSTTCAGAGGGGGGTAGTCCTGTAACCAAGTCCAGAGAGATGTGAGACCATGGGCGAGCAGGAGTGGGWAGCGGTTGTAGAAATCCAGCGGGTTGTTGATTGCCACTCTTGTTTCGGGCACAGGTGGGGCATGCTGCAACAAACTCTTTGATGTCCTGATACATTGTTGGCCACCAAAAATATCTTTTAGAAAATGACAACATGCGTGACATACCGGGATGACAAGTGAATCGATGGTTATGAGTCCAATCAGCACTTTACCAACAATGTTCTTAGGAATGAACCTGGTGCCAGGTGGTCCAGAGCCAGGGTCGGGTTCAGACTGTTGGGCCAGACAAATTGTGTTTTCGATGTTCCAAAAGAGAGTTCCCACGAAGCAGGAGGTAGGCAAGATGATAATGTTCTTTTCTGTCTTTTCAGCAGAGGAGAACTGCCTGGAGAGAGCGTCGGGTTTAATATTTCTGGAAACCAATACCGGACAATCTTCCCATTTCTCACCTCTGCAAAACCTCTGTTTCAGGTCCCRTCCCCAGACCCCAGCACCTGTACAAATAAAATCACTTACCTTTTGTATCCGCCATCTCAATCTCTGTTTGTCATTGGTACTTGCTCACGTCGACCTCCACCAGAAAACCTGATAGAGCTCACGGACATGTGACTTGGCTGAAGCATTCTATCAGGTTTTCTGGAGGAGGTCGACGTGAGCAAATACCAATGACAAACAGAAACTGAGACGGTGGACACAAAAGGTAAGTGATTTTATTTGTACAGGTGCTGGGGTCTGGGGACGGGACCTGAAACAGAGGTTTTGCAGAGGTGAGAAATGGGAAGATTGTCCAGTATTGGTTTCCAGCAGATAAATAATTCAAAAGTTCTCTTACGGGTTGGAGAAGGAGATGAGACTTGGAGGAGTCGGTCCAAAAGGTGAAGATCCACAGGTGAGTGTTCACAGGTGAATAATTATTTACAGTGTTACGTGGGAGGCAGCGCATGAGATCCTGGTGTGTTGGCTCGGGTTCCAAGGTAAAGGCAAACGTGCTGGAGGTCGCTTTCTGAAAACAGGTAGGTAACAGATATACAGGTAAGAATAATTCTCGTAAGGACAACAGGTAGCAGGCTGAGCTCATACCAAACAGAGGCGATACTTCAGCAACGAGATGAACTCCAACACTGCCTTAAAAAGCCTGGAGGTGATGAGCCAAACTCTGTGCAGGTGTGGTTGATTGGCGCAGTGCCCAATCCAGGAGGCAGGGGGCAAAAACACCAAAATACCTCAAGAGGTACTTTGCATTGACTGTTTATGGTTGAGTTTGGGCATGTAGAGGGTAGAACCTGAGGCAGGACCTTGTGCGTAAACTCTGAGGTGCAGTTGGGATCTAAAAAGGAAAGGTGTGCAGAAACATGTGTACGCACGGTTTTATAAATATGATTTTTTTTTTCTTTTTTGGCGTATGCCATTTTCACCTTTTGGCCGTATGTTCACGTTTAGTATGGTTTCCACACATTCCTTTATCAATCCGACCCCAGATCTGTTACATACTGATGAAATATCTTAGTGATGCATCAAGACATTCTTTGAGAATTTTACAGTATAACAGAGTCTAGGAGGAATGAAAACTAAAAGCTTTAACATCAAACATTTGCAAAATTATGGAAAAATGATAAATGAAAGCTTAACATATTACATAAAAAGAAAGCATATTTGTCAAAGTTTCAAAGTGGGTTTAGAAAGGGAAGGATCCAGTCTTGTGTCTGGAACATGATATCAGGAAAGCTTAAATTATTAGTGTTGTGGCTGTGTTTTTTATGTAGAAAGGGTGTATGACATGATGTGAAGAGGTTTATTTATAAAACTGAAAAAATAGCATCACAGGTCAAATGTTTAAATGGATTAAAGAGTTTCTATCAGAAAGATTAAAGCAGCTAAATGTTGGTCAAGATTACTCAGGTAAATATGTCAGAAAACGGTATTCCACAGGGCAGCATTCTCGGTCCTTTATTATTTTCCATAACTGATAGGAAGAGGGAATGGAACCTTATGGAAAATATGGAAAACTGTAGAGTTAGGATTATTAACTTCATAACTAACGGTTATTAATTGCTAACCCTAACCACACTGGACCTGGTCCAGCTCTAAAACTACAGCTATGACCAGGTCTAGTGTGGTCCAGATGCAGAAATGTGATGAAATTGCCCATTATTGAAGTTTCACAAATCAGAMAAAGGTTTCACAAATCTCAAACCTGTTTATAAATAGTCTACTATAAGAGTAGAACAATCCAGTCCAGGTTTGAACAGTCCACATGTTGTAGTTTTGGCCCAGGTCGAGTGTTGTCCAGATAATTTAAATGTGAAGATAATGAACTTTATTGAAGTTTCACAAGTCCCAAACTTGATTTTAAATTCTCTGCAATCATTGTAGAGTAATTTAGTCCAGGTTTGAAGTATTTTGATTTTTAAACTAGAGCAGATTAAAGATGCTCAAGGTAGGAAAAAATAGATGAAATTGCTCAACTTCAGCTTTGTGTTTACCTGTTGGTTTGTCTGTAGGGATTCCTAGCTGTAAATCTCACTTTGTGTTCCTTTGACAGAGGTCTGCTTTACACAACTTTGTGAAGTTTTTAGGAAATCCTGACCTCCTCTGACATTGTCTTCTCTTTAGGTTTGGAGGAGTCATCTGTTGTTCTAAAGATGCAACAATACTCCTAAAATAAAACTAAAATGAGTTTCCTTCACAGGATGGCTGGGCTCAGCTAGTTAGGGTTATTATTTTTATTCAGCATTTACACTGTTGTTTTACCGTTTCTCTTTATCAGCAATTGGTTTTTTCTTACATACATTATAAAGGTAATAAGTTATCACTCTAAACAAACATWTAATGTTGAATCTTCACTTCATCACTCCATCCTGAGCAACACATTGTAGACAGTGCAGATGGAAAAACTCCCTTTTTAGTCCAAGAGAAAAGCTGGTATCATTTTGGTGTTTAGTTAGATCAAAAATATGTGATTCATATACGGTCAGTTTCAATGTGGTAGCTTAAGACTATTGGAGGTTATGATTAGGCTTTTTATTTTTATTTTTTAAGAACCAATGAACAAATTTGGTCTTATAGTAACCTTTATTTAACCAGGCAAATCTCATTCAGATCAAATCTTTAGAGACCTGAAGACAACCTATTGTTCGTGTTTTTGGTCTGTGGGGGAAACCGGAGTACTCAGAGAAAACCCACACAAGCCTGAGGAGAACATGTAAACTCCACACRGAAAGACCCCAGGTCTGAAGCAGGGATTGAAACCAGGACCTTGTTGCTGTGAGGCATCAGTGCTAACCACTGATCCATCGTGCTKTTAGTGGAYAGAATGTTATAGATTCCCAGTAATCTACTTAGAAATGTAGTAATAATGTGTTGAGAATGGGTTAAAACATTCAGTACCGTCTGCAGTACTTTTCTGTGTACTATTTTATCAATGACAAATGTTCCCAGGGTTCTACCACACACCGTACAGGCAGATTTTCACGCAATCTTTTATTCCACATCCCAAACACAAGACAAACTTAAATAACATGAAGAAAAATGTGTAACATAAACTTTGGCATGAGCACAAAATGGCACAAGAACCAAGTTAGACATCATAAATGATTCTGTAAATACAACCCAAAGATATGGTTGACTTTGTGTGAGAAACCTTTGTTCAATGAACTCCCACAGTAAGATCTTAGGGATAGCTCGCACGTCCAGGTACAACATCCAACTTGAGTCTTTATTGAGAATCACATAAATATATTTTCACATCTGTCACAATCAAAGTCAAATCATAAACACAAGTTCTTAAATAAATAATATAAAGAATAAAAAATGATGGTGCGCACAATAAGGAAACAATGGTCAAAGGAAGATTGAAAAACAAAATAAAAATGATGCATTTAAAAAAGAAAAAAAATGGACGTTTGTTTGCTGAAAGGTGAGTTGGTGTATTTGGTTTGTGTCATAGGTCCGATGAACATTTGCTTATATTTCTGTCTTTGGGTCTTAAGTTTGTTATATATTCTGTCAAACATCCTGTTCACCCAAACTGTTCGTTCGTCAGAACTGAACGTTGTAACGTTTCTCTCAGTTTTCTCTTTCTGTCTTCCCTCTGCATGACGGCAGAAAAACAAGTGCTGAAATGTTTCTGTCCCTGTTTGAACACGTGGGTTTTATCTGAGGCCGGCACCCGGGCCTAGCATGGCCTCGTCCCTCCACATGAAGTCTTGGTGGTCCGCTCTGGCCAGGGTGCCCTCCACGGGGTTGTGCCTGTACCCAGGCCTGCCGTCGGGACAGAGGGACAGGCTGAGGCGTGCCGTGCTGTTACTGATCTTAAACAGGCTGTTTGGACTGAGGAAGGCCTCTCTCTCACTGCCCCCCAGGTTATTGACCGTTTCAAGGTCGTTATAAACCGCGATATCATTCAGCTGCTTCCGTCCCTCCGTYCTCCTCCTCCTCCTCCTCAGGAACAGAATCCCTGCGATCAGAACCAGCACCAGGACCGCCAGAAAGCAGGAGACTGTGAGGGTGGTGGAGGAGGAGGCCTTGGAGGCYTGGCGTAAAGCAGGTTTGAAACTGGGCTGCAGTGTGAACTCGCAGCTCGGACCCATGAAGCCTTTGGGGCACTGGCATACCGGCCCGGTGAAATGAGTGAAGCAGGTGCCGCCGTTCTGACACGGACGAGCACCGCAGGCATCGGAGCGCACGCTGCAGTTTTTCCCAGTGTACCCCAGGGTGCAGGAGCAGGTGTAGTCGTTCACGCCATCCTGACAGGTTCCGGCGTTCTGGCAAGGACYGGAGGCACAGTCGTCGACGTTGACCTGGCAGTTGGCTCCGGTGAACCCCGGCTGGCAGCGGCACAGGATACTCTGGCCCAGGTCCAGGCAGTCTCCACCTGTGGAAGACAGAAATTCTCAGCTCCACTGTCTGATTGACTCTTCGGCCACATGATGGCACCAGAGGAGAGGACTCACCGTTCAGGCAAGGCCTGTTGCTGCAGCGGTCCAGCTTCTTCTCACAGTTTGAGCCAGTATAACTGGAGGGGCAGCGACAGGTGTAGCCCCCAGTCACGGTCTCCACGCATGTCCCACCATTGAAGCAAGGACCATCTGCACAAGTCATTGCAATGATTTCACAGTTCTTCCCATAGAAACCCTGGGGGCAGGTGCAGGAGTAGTCATTCTCCAGGTCCTAGAAGGTGACAGACAGAAGGAATAAATGAGTGATGGTCACTGTGGGACGGTTAATAAAGGTTGTAAAACCTGTCATCCAGGTTCTTTTTCTTTAACTCAACGTTAAAGTTTGAATTTCATCTGCTTTGTTTGTRAATACAGTTATCTCAGCACAGTTCAGAGTTTTAAATGCATTGCTTGTTTCAGAGTTTTGTTGTCTCTAACTGTGACACTTCATTTCCCCACATGGAAGCCAGACTCACGTTGCAGCTGCCTCCGTTCTTGCAGGGGTTGCTGTCGCACTCGTTGGTTTCCAGCTCACAGTTGGTCCCTCCGAAGCCRGGCCGGCAGGTGCAGGTGTAGCTGCCCTGACCCGTGTTGGTGCAGGTGGCACCGTTGGCACAAGGCTTGTGGTTGGTGCAGTAGTTGAGGTCCTGGTCACAGAAGAGGCCCCCCCAGCCCTCCTGACAGTTACACTGCCACGGCTGGCTGCAGGTTCCATGGAGGCAGCCCGGGTAGCGAACACATTCTGTGCAGGAGGGGCCCTGCCAGCCCATACGACACGTACAGCCAGCGGGGGCCTCGCAGTAACCATACTTCTCACTGCAGTCCGCAGAGCAGATGGCTGGAAAAAAGAAGAGGAGGGAGGGGTAATTATAATGGGTACGCCTTCTTAAGCACACACATACACACACACACACATATGGGCCCCCTTGTTTGAACCCAGACCCGTTCCAGACTTCACTGTTGGTTAAGTATTAAGCCAAGCAGCTGGTAGGCACACAGCCGAAGAAAAATGCTTTCTGTTATCTGTACACACACACAC